AGACATCCTTGTAGTCCTCCTGAGTTGCCTGCCCCTTCTTCCAAAGGTCATAAACTCTCTTTTTTTCCCTGAGTTCCAGCCAACCTCTCTGTTCAGCCAGGCCGGTCTTCTTCCCTGCCAGCTTGTCTTTTGGCACATGGGGACAGCCTGCTCCTGTGCCTTTAGGAGTCCCTTCTTGAAGAATGTCCAGCCTTCATGGACTCCTTTGCCCTTCAGGACTGCCTCCCAAGGGACTCTTGTCAACCAGGTACCTAAACAGGCCAAAGTCTGCCCTCCAGAAGTCCAAGGTGACAGTTCTGCTGACCTGCCTCCTTACTTCTCCAAGAATCAAAAACTCTATTATTTTGTGATAGCTGTGCCCAAGATGGCCTCCAACCGTCACATCACCCACAAGTCCTTCTCTGTTCACAAACAACAGGTCCAGCGGGGTGCCTTCCCTAGTTGGCTCACTTACCAGCTGTGTCAGGAAGTTATCTTCCACATACTCCAGGAACCTCCTAGACTGTCTCCTCTCCGCTGTATTGTATTTCCAGCAGACATCTGGTAAGTTGAAGTCCCCCACGAGAACAAGGGCTAGCAATTGCGAGACTCCTCCCAGCTGCTTACAGAATATTTCATCTGCCTCTTCATCCTGGTTGGGCGGTCTGTAACAGACTCTCACCATGATATCTGCCTTGTTGGCCTCTCCCCTGATTCCTACCACATCGTCAAGCTCTAGACAATCAAAACACACCCTAACATACAGGGCTATCCCACCGCCTCTCCTTCCTTGCCCATCCCTTCTGAAGAGTTTTTAGCCATCCATTGCAGCACTCCAGTTGTGCGAGTCATCCTACTATGTTTCCATAACGGCAACTATATTATAGTTTTCCCGCTGCACAGTGGCTTCCAGCTCCTCCGGTTTGTTGCCCATGCTGCGTGCATTGATCTAGATGTACTTCAGTTGGGCTACTGATCCCGCCACCTTTCTGGGGAGAGAAGCCTTAATTCCTACATGACCATTCTCAGGCGCACATCAATAACCCTTGCATCTTTGTTGTCACATGGCTCTCCATCCCCTACCTCCACTGAGATGGCAGACCGAAGGACCTTGCTAGCACACCATCCCTCAAACATTGGTGTGCCACCCCCAGGCTTATCTCTAGCGAGCCTGGTTTTATTCCTTTCCCCCTTCAAATCTAGTTTAAGGCTCTTTCAATGAGCCCTGCCAACTCCTGTGCAAAGATCCTTTTCCCCCTTCGAGACAGCGTACCCCGTCTGTCACCAGCAGGCCTGGTGTCATGTAAACTGACCCATGATCAAAAAGCCCAAAATTCTGCCGGTGACACCAGCCTTCTTCCCCAATAGCACCAGAGGTAATTGCAACAAACTAGTGCTGGTATTTATTAACAGCAGACATAATAGGGCTGAACTCATGAGAAACAAGATAAATGTACTGTCCAGTATTCTTTTTTAAAAGGAAGTTTGGCTTTGAAAAGAAAAAAACGCATATGCTTGGATAAAAGTGCAGGCAGAGATGTCTAGTCCCAGTCAAACTGAAAGATAACTACAAACCACAGGTAAATCACCTACGTAACAGGAAAAACAGCTATGTATCAAATGCTTGCAAATAAAGTGTCAAGTGTTTCTACTTGCTAACTGTAAAGATTTTTAAAAGTGCCAGATAATTCACTCTTATTTTAAAAAACAGAAAAATATGAAAAATATTTACTTAAGTAAATGAAGAAAATCTAGACCAGTGCAATGTGAATTACAACAGTAATTCAGTTATTTTTCTAGTTAAAGGCATTAATTCATTACTTTTTCATGGTTTTACAGTGCAATGTGATTAAGCCTTACTCAGATGATGACTTTCTTATTTGGGACATGCTACTATGAACACTTGGCAGTGCAAATCCATGCTATCCAAATGAAACGTAAGAATTGGGGGGGCGGGAAGAGGTGAAACAAGTGATATATCAGACAAAATAACAAAGCTGATTGTCACATTTTGAAACCATCTTTTTAGCATGTAAGCATTTAAAGTTATCATAAATACAAAATTTAGTAAATTTATAACCACTATAAAAATTTGTAGTTTTTAACTTACAAATCCAACATGTGCATTTAGACATCTGAACAGTAGCTTAAAAAACACATTCCAAAGGTGAACAACACCACAGTAGCATACAGCCCTGTTCTCTCCTCACATGCATTTCTTTAAACAAATTTCTCAGGAGCCTAATCTGAAATACAAAATCTTCAAAGGCTATCAAGGATTTTAAGCCACTTTTTCTGTTTTCTTTGCCTGTCTTTTCTTAACACCATCACGATGCTGTTCAGAAGAAGACCGGTCACAGACTGAAGAGCCATTGGAAGACGCGGCACTTTCACCCTTCACTTTGGATGGTGTCTTTTCCAAGCCAAAGAACATATGGCCTAATGCAGTCTCCAAGGGAGCAAATGGAGAAGTTGCAGATCTTGTCAACATCATTGTTACCTATGAAGAACAAGGATCAAGTTACAATAAAAGTTTTAATGACTTCACAGCGACTGAAAACAAGTTCAAAGCTGAATGGATGTATGGCATTTCTAACTTCTACACGAGCATGAGGCCATGCCACCAAGAACAGAAATATCCACATTTTAGCTTGAATTGATCAAAGAATGCTTTTCTTTCTGACCCACACTCTTCACACAGCTATACACAAACCATGTGCACAAAAAACTTCCTATGTAAGTTTACTAAAATCATCCTAAGAGTAAACCACATTTAACTTCATACAACTAAGGTGAAGAGCAACTTTTATGTGTAAGTTTTGTACCCTGTTCAAACTGAAAAACTGTAAACAGAGTGGCTTCTTCCATTTAAATTGAAAGAATGCAATGTTGTCCTGGTTTTGGCTGGGATAGAGTTAATTTTCTTCCTGGTAGCTGGTATAGTGCTGTGTTTGGGATTTAGGATGAGAATAATGTTAATAACACACTGCTGTTTTAGCTGTTGCTAAGTAGTGTTTACACTAGTCAAGGACTCTTCAGCTTCCCATGCTCTGCCAGGTGCACAAGAAGCTGGGAGAGAGCACAGCCAGGATAACTGACCCAAACTGGCCAAAGGGATATTCCATACCATATGATGTCATGTTCAGTATATAAGCTGGGGGGAGTTGGTTGGGGAGCAGTGACCGCTGCTCGGGAACTAGCTGGGCATCAGTCAGCAGGTGGTTAGCAACTGTATTGTCCATCACTTACTTTGTATATTCTATCATTATTATTATTTTCCCGTCTTCTTCTGTTCTATTAAACTGTCTTTATCTCAATCCACAAATTTTACTTTTTTTTTTCCAATTCTCTCCCCCAACCCGCTGCTGGGGGTGGGGGGAGTGACCGAGCGGCTGTGTGGAGTTTGGCTGCCTGCCGGGTTAAACCACAACAAATGTGTAAGCACCTAAATACATATGCATAGCCAGACTTCAGTTAGAATTCCAGACAGCCATATTCAATTCCATAAAGTTGAGAGATTTAGGTGGAAATTCCTTAGAGTACATAACTTGCAACCAGGATGGAAAAACCTGTTTTGTAGATCCTGGTACTGGACAAGCTTATATTGCAACAGTTTATACAGTTTTCAGAGACATGAAAAGTTTCTAAAATAAGACACTAATACAGGACTATGCCAGATCCACAACTGTTGCTGCATTAGTTAAGTGGATGCTCAAGTTCCTGATTGTCAGTATGACCATCAGTTTAAGAACATATTCACTTCAGTGCAGCCTGACAGCCAGCTTCTGAAAACAGCTGTAATTTCACACTTCCAGAATAACATTCTTTTCCTTCTCCATTCCCAGCATCCCTAGTTCAACAATGCCTTTATTGGTTTAGGTGGAGAATCATGAGCAACGGCCTGAAGTCTTGGCTCCCTAAAGCAACGTCTCTAGAATTAAACTTGTCAGCGACTTCACAGAAAGGAGACTAGCAACCGCCACTTTAAGACAGTCTCTAGTCTGTTCAACAGCAGCCTGAAGCTCTTAAAATCGCTAGACTTCTGCTAACAAAGACAACTTTTCTTATTAGCTAATAATCCTGAAGACAGGCATCATCCTGGAAATGAACAAGACTGGAGGGGTTGAAGAATTCAATAGAGAAGTAGTATCTGTTTTATTATAAAAGTAGTTACAGCTACTTCAAAGTGGCTTGTTACACTTTCTCTTCCCACCTAAACACTTATGTTGCGATCTTAAGCTAGATGAGAACCTAGCTGGCTTGTTTTGCAAACCTACAGATGACTGCACAGGTACAAGGAAGGCATTAAGCAGCTAGCGAAAGGCAGAGAATAGGAGAGTTTCTTTCTACAAGCATAAGCTTTGTTTGAGATTATGGACATACAAGCCTGGCATATCAACTCTTGGGTGCCAAAATTACTGATTTTTTAATTTTTTTCTTTTTTACATACATTGAACAGCATCAGTAACAGAATAGGTCTTAGGTTCTGCTCACGTATAGAAGGCTAAACACAGGTTTAAGATTTCAGTAGGAGCTGGCCTTCCCCTCCAGAAGCACTCATTCTAACTTGTGGGAATAGTTGCGGGCATTTTTTGCTCTGAAATAATGAAATAAAGTATTTTCTGTTACTCAGTTATTTGCAGCACTTTCACATTCTCACCTTGGAGACGACAAGAAAGACGGTGTATAAAAACATGAGGTTGTGTCTTGCTATTGGCAAGTACTGGCTGTGTTGCAGGGTGAAAAGAACTGCTCCTATCAAAGTTACCTTCACAGGGCTGGAAATCAAACAAACAGTGTTAATTTCTCTTCTCTACTCTACAGTGAAAGCTGCCATGACTTGGAAAGCAATAAACGTTTTTAGTGTGTAAAAAAATTATTTCTGAATAGAACTAATGAAAACTTACAGTAACAGTGACAAGGGCCAAAACCTAGCTATAATTAAACTAAGGCTTTCACTTTATATACTATTATATATTATAATATAT